GTGGCATGGTGTATTAGGGCGGACCACCACAATTTCTACGGAAATAATTTCTGAATTAATTGAATTAATTTCTAAAAATTTAAAATAATTTCTAGTGAAAGAATTTCTAGGTAACATTATCTAGAAATTATTTCCATAAAATATTTTGTAGAAAATACTTCATCACAATATTTTCTAGAAAATACATTTATATTTATAATTATATTTGCAAATATGAATAGTTATATGCGAACCAGTTTTTCGAAAAGATTGACATAAAAAATTAATCACCTCGACGATAATTTTGGTTTTGCCCTTGATTTCGAAGACGACTATGATTACGTCTTGATTCTTTACATTTTAACGATTTTAATTTTTTATTAATTTTTTTTGCCATTTTGACAAAAAATCACCAAAAAAGTAAGAAAAGGGAATAGACTTGTGTGGTATGTTGAATGTTAAACATTTGTGGATACCACCATGAAGTTGCCTTCAAATGAGTTCCCTTTAGGGCCAGTTCACAGTTAAAAGTTTTGTTTGACAATAACAAATTTTGTCAACTCCAGTTTATAGCTGACAATTTTTTTTTATTTCAGTACATATTTATCAGCTGTGAAATTTACGAGATTTTGTGAGACACTGACAAAACACACCACAAATTATTTTCGCGAGATAAATCGAGTTTTACGCAAAAACAAACGAATACAATTAAGTTTTCAACTGTGAACTGACTCCAAAAAGAACTCGTTTGAAGGCAACTTCATTGTGGTTGTCACAAGAAATGTTTGACATTCAAGTTTTAACAACAGACAGACGCATAACGCTTGGCCAATATTTTCATTTCGTGTTATAATAATTTCATTTCGTGTTCTTGTTTCAAAATGACAAGTAGAAAAAGTTCATCAGAAATTGAAAGTGACAATGAATATGATTCGCTAGATGAATTAAGCGATTTGGAAGTGATTCGCCCTGGAAAGAGCAAAAAAGATGACCTAGGTAATTACACATTTTAATCAATAGTCAATTGACCGTACAATTGTACTAATAATATTACTACATACGAATTTTATATTTTAGTGGAATGTCCGGTGAAATATTGCAGAAGACAATTACTTCGCAAAAACATTTCTCAGCATCGCCGAACAATACACAACAAGGAACGTCGATTTAATTGTTCAAAATGTGAATCATCTTTTACAACCAAAGTGAATCTAAATATTCACTTATTGTCACATAAACAAAAAAGTAAGTACTCTATTAAATATTAGTATACTATATTCCTCTATACATCCATACCTGTATATTGGCATTTTGCGTTAGTACTTTGAATATTGTTACTTTTCGCCGAGATACATCTCTACGTGCACTATTCACAATTCGTTGGCAAATCTATCTCAAATTTCAGAAAAGAAGCACAAACGTGAAAGCCGGTCAAGTGAACGTAGCCGTGACGATAGAGGTCATCAATCGACTGAGCTTAGTGGTCGTAGCCGAGATGAACATAAGCGTTCTCGAAGTGGTTCCAATAAGCGAAACCGTGACGATAGAGGTCGTCAATCGACTGAGCTTAGTGGTCATAGCCGAGATGGTCATAAGCGTTCCCGAAGTGGTTCCAATAAGCGATACCGTGACGATAGAGGTCGTCAATCGACTGAGCGCCGAGATGGACATAAGCGTTCCCGAAGTGGTTCATATAAGCGACACCATGACGATAGAGGTCGTCAATTGGTCTCACCAAACAAAGAGGAAAACGTGTCAATGAATTATTTCGACCAACAGCTTGCGGAGGTACATGGCACAGGAGACAATATCTCCCAAAGAAACAGCACATACTCCAGTGAAATCATTACACAAATTCAAGACAACTTTAACGTAGGATTCGTAATCAATCTACCAACTGAAAAAGAGGAAGTCGAATCCATTCAACGTAATTCTCCAATTTATAAATATTATTTAGAATTTTATATTTAAAATACATTTTTGATCTTATTTCAGAGATGTGTGTTAGTGATCAAGAGTATAGTAAAATTGTGTCGGACCTGGAGGGACTAATTAATCGATCTAAATTAAAATTAGACAAAAAACAAGAGAAAGTCGTATTCTTGGACGATCCAAATAATTTGAAGAGCGTAGATATTGAACAAAAGTCATCGCAAAAAGGTGAACAGAATGCAAAATCTTGTGATCTTAAAATTACATTTAATGGGATTTATTCTACCATTACTTACAATGGCAAATAATGTCAAAAACTGCATGATGGCGCCATCTCTACGTGCACATGAAAATTAGAACAAAAAGTATGTGTAAAATATTGATTGATTCGAAGTTTGAATATGGAATCGTTTGTTGTGACATCTGTCATTCTACGCTCTGAACAAAAACCGATTTATTGTTTGCATCTAGTGAATTTGTGATGTAAAATAAATTAAAATTACTTTGCACAGTTTGTGCCATCGAAATAATTTGCGAGGACGTTGCACAACACATGGTTTTGCATTATACAAACATTCTACATATACTTTTTGTTCTAATTTTCAGGTGCACGTAGAGATGGCGCTGGGAACGCGAAGCTCAAAAAAAATATACAGTCTATATAGAAAGCAAGTGACGGTAGGATTTATTACCAATTAAGTAAAATATACCTCTATTCTTTCTTGCGTTGACGATGCATCCGTAGCGACCATAGACGAAGCCACAAAAAATGACTCAGAAACAACAACTAACGATCCGAAAGGCACAATCAACACCGAAAACACACAAAGTGAGCAGTTAAATAAATAGAATCGTACATTTTGTGATCCTAAAACTACATTCCATGGGATTTATACTAAAATATACCTCTTTCTTTTAGACGTTGAAAATGCATCCGTACAGACCATGGACGATGCCACAAAAAATGACGGTCAGACAGTCAACATTAACAACGAACCATTGACAAAATACGGTAAAGAAAATTATTATTAGCCTTGTTCTATTAAAACAGTGTAGCTATAGAAATTTCACACTTCAATTTTTTTTCTATATGATAGAGGTATCAAAAGGACCCATTTCGGATGAAATCTATCAAAAAATCAAAAGTATATCATTTTCTTTTTTTAGTGTTCATGGAAGAGGATCCGAGATATAAAAAAGTTCTCCTCGCTATGAACGATTTGTACACTAAATATCGCCTCTATATTGAAGGAAAAATGTCTGAAGATCAATGTAAACAAGATGATCAAGTCATCAAACACGAAATGATGACTAAGGTTTTGTGCGAATTGTCGACCAAGATGAATAACTTACGAACAGTATCGGCTTCTATCATTGAAAGCCTCGACCAAATTGTTAATTTATTGGACTAAATTTTTTTTTTCATCCAGAATCAATTTATATTTTTCTACTTTAAAACAGAGCATCTTGATTTGCTGCTGCTCAGCATATAGCTGAGAGCTGAGAAATGCTGAACTCGTGCGGCTAACGCATACGAAACGGATGGCACGCACATGCATTCTCCCCGTTTAAACGGTTATAAACAGTTGATTGGACGTTCAATTCAAAACTCAAAACTTAGTAACCAGTTGAGTTTGAAATTGTGTTGCGACCGACTTATGAGAAGCTGCGAGAAAAACATCACGTCGCATCCCTCGTTATTTTGCTTACGTAAGTGAAAGCAAGAGATGAGATGCGACGTGCTGTTTTTGCTCTCAGTCTTTCATATATTCTGAAAGTGTACGTCTAACGTATACGAAACGGATGCACGATACATATTCCCCTTTCACTTCGTATGTTCGCTGGTATAGTGTGTAACCGTTGTACCGGCAATAACGTCAACGGCAGCACATACGAAGCGAAAGGGGAATATGTATCGTGCATCCGTTTCGTATGCGTTAGCCGCACGAGCTCAGCATTTCTCAGCTCTCAGCTATATGCTGAGCAGCAGCAAATCAGGATACTCTGCTTTAAAAAGACTCTACGAGCCGTATCGGCCTCTATCAATGTGAGCATCGATTAAATTGTTAATTTATTGGATAAGAAATATTTTTGTTCATCCAGATTCAATATATATTTTTCTAATAAATATTAACTAACATAACAATAACAACTTTTTGTTTCAACATTGAGTTTTAAGAAACGTTAAAAAGTAAGGAAAATAAAACAAAGTTCAAATGAAATCAATGTTTAGCAAAAGCATAAACCAAATGCTCATACTTCAAAGTTGAGCGAAACTTTCAAAGCTCATCGCATCGTTAAATACGTACTTAAATCGACTAAATCTGACTAGTAGACACCTTATCAAAGTTTATTTTTTTTATTATTCCCAACGATTTTCTTTGATTCTTCATCGTTTCAAATCTGCCATATGCTGAAAAGTGTGAATTTTGTTTATTTATGTTAATCAAATCATAATTTCGTAAGAATGTGAATCATTTATATTGGTATTTTTCGCTCAAGCTCAATGAAAAAGACATAAATGCATGCATTCCGATCGGTCAACGCATAATATAACTTTAAATTGTTTACATATTTATTCTGAATCAAACTCGAATTTTGGTTTTTGCGCATTTGCATCAATTACGTGTCTTCTAAAAAAAATACAGTATTTCAGTTTGCAATTACACAAGTTGTTTGTACATGAGTCTCAAAATGTTAACGGGCTCTAATTATTCAGTCAATATATACGTGCAAAATAGATCATTTGTCTGTGATGTATTACATACGTCGGCTGTTTGCTCATTCCAATTCTGTGTAATTCATGTAAACCACATCATTACCCATTTTGTTTAATGTTCCTATTTATTCATATATAATTTTCGTCAACACATTTTATGCATATTAATACGCTCTGTGATCAGATCCAGATGGAAAATTATTTGATAAGACTGCGGAAGAGGATACTTTATATATTTAATTTTTGTTTCATATCCATCTACATTTAGAATCTATACTTCTCTTTAATACTTTCGCATAAATAAGACTAACACTGAAAATCAATCTCTTTTTTTTTAAATAATTTATTCAAAAATGGACAAAATACAAAAAAAAAATATGAAGATGAAAGTTTATTTACAATAAGTGGTAATATTTTTTTTAAATTCATCTCTGGTTTGCACGTCGTCACGTTTAAAAGAATTTTCTGAATTTACCAAAATGGCTGAAATTTAAAGGAAATGCGAAAAGATTAATGTTACATTTCAAGAATGTGATGGAAGCAGTATTCTCACCCAAAGCGTCCAAAGACCGGAACTACTGAGACGACGGGTTGAACAGGTACGATAGGTTGAACGGATATAATGGGTTGAACTGGTACAATTCTTTGTACTGGAACTGCAACGGGCACAACTGGCTCAACGGCGACTGGTAAACCATATCCAAATTTATGCGGTTTTGGTGCAGCCGTCGCGTATGCAATCATAGCAATAATAGCGATTATCAATTTTAAACTGGACATTTTTGTTGGTCGTCGTTATTGGTTTGAATTAAAAATAAAATGAATTCACTTTTGCTGGCACTGAAAAGACGAAAAGATGTAGTTTATAAACACATTGACCACAAATTTAAAAAAAAATGCACATCAACAACAATATCAAAAACCCTTGGCACGTGAATCTTTTCAACGAAAAGAATTATTCAAAAAAGCACTGTACCTTTTCCAATGTTGAACGTTCAATGTGCTCTTTGAAATGCTTCCATTGATTTTATATACGCTTTATTCGTGTATATTTCGTTCATTTCAATAAGTTCGCACTCATACACACACGTTCACATCACTGATTGACTCTTGGGCAGTAATAAAAATCGAAAATTTTCAAGCTTTGACTATGTGACGCATACGATGTCGTCATATTTACATATAATATATTGTTGGCATTTAGATTTACAATTTAAAGTGATGCCAATGAACAATGTTCACACTAGACGATGACTTGATGAAATACATACAATATTTACCATTTGCCAGATACGCTCCGCAACGAAATTTATTGATATGTGTGACAAAATGAAGGTGCATTAAGAAGATGACAATCATACATAGAAGGTAAATAGCAACGAATCATTCATTTACGATTCTGCTGATTGACTATATGTAATCCAATGTGTAAAGTGTAAAAATAAATTTACTCTGTGTGATAACATTGTCTTCATGGCGTTGTGCTTATCTATAGAAAAAGTGCTAATATTTTCACGTGGATATGTGGTGTAAAACTGGATTACAACGTGACGACACCTTTCGATGTATTTTTACAAACACATGCTTGCGCGTTGGCTCAATTTTGAGAATTTTATGCATGAAAATCAATGGTAATAATCTATCAATGGTTTTGAGTCTAATTGGCGTTTAGTGCGTGATAAGTCGGCATCAACGTGGTGAAAATTCAATTTTTTTTACTCAAAACACTGAATATTGTATGCTTCAAAAAATACAATAAAAGAATTTGTGTACAAAATACAATGAGGCTAGGGGAAATGATCTATTCGCGAATGGACAAAATTTATTGATTGTATGATAAAGTCGTCATTTTAGTAAAATAATTCAAGAAATTCGCATACAATTCGCAAGCTATTCGCAAAAAGTTATCACAATCAAACTATATAATATACGCTTGCAAACGATCCAAGTGAATAGCGGCGACGCAAGAAAACGAAGTGAGTGAATAGCGGTAGCGGATAACATTTTTTCTTTCGTTCGTTGTCGCTTTTCACTCATTTCGTTTTCGTGCGTCGCCGCTATTCACTTGGCTCGTTTACAAGCGTTCACAATTTGATACATACAAAACTTACAAATTTTGCGAATTGTCTCACGTTCATAGCGTTTTGTTTGCGAATTGTTTTTTAAATCACAACTTTACTGGCCCATCGCTTACAAATCATTTCGCATAAAATTCGCAAAATATCGAATAATTCGCTATTTTCTGATCGAGATCCGATCCCCTAGCAATGAGGTTCTTGAGTTTTACTGTGATTATGTTTACATCCATTTATTTCATTTTAAGTGTACAAGGTCGGACTGTCGCAATCATACGCTGGCGCGCATTAAGTGAATAGCAAACAATCGGAAATATACATCGCATAACAAGCATCGTATGTTTGAATAAAATTTTGTGACGAAATCAAATTTATATGAAAAGACCCACGAGCCACGGCACTGCTCAAGACCAAATGACGAGATCTCTGCAAAATGCGATTAAAGCAAATGGGAGAAAGAGCAAGGCGACATGTAATCGATATATTCAATTAAATTGCTTTGAACTGAGGGTATGACAATTGTTTCCCAAGATGTGAAATAATATTGACTTTCCAGAAATAAATTTGGTGCTAAGTTTTTACTTTGCTGGAGTACATCCACATAAGTACAGACCAACATTATGTCTAGCATTATGGCATGTGCGATACTCAACCTGCGTGTACACTTCGCTGTTATCTAGTGATTTGATTACATAATTCCACAGGCTGGAAAAAGGTACATTTACTTTGAAAATGCTTTCCCAATTAGTTCGATATATGAATGGAAAATTCTACCAAAGTAGTTTTCAAATAATAAGAATTGTAAATTTTACTTACTGAAACACAAAGTTTGATGTGTATTTTTTGTGAAAATAAAGAAAAACACTGAACTTCATTTTCTTCATTTAATAAAAAATTCACAGCCTTTCAAGTTCTTTATAGATTTCTTTAGTAGGATAAAAATGCGCCCTTTATTTTTGTTCTATCGAAAAAAATGTAACAAATCATACATGGGTGCTTATTTAATATCTAACCATAAGTTTTTATTATTTAGTTGGTTTCCCTCTCTTTTGGTGCGGTTCGTTGTTTTTTGAAAATCAACTTTTCTAGCTCGACTACTGGCAATTCAAACGCTAATGCGGCGAATATCGAAAGAATAAAAGTTGTTACGAAATCTCCGAAAAAAATGTGATACTAAAAGAAAATGACGGAAAATGTAAAAACAGATTTAAATACACATTTTCTTTTACTTACAGTGGTTGCTTCAGATATATGTGGAGTACTTTTCATTGTTGCATGAAAATAAACTACGACGGGAAAATGTATCAAATAAATTGGAAAAGAGAGCCTGGAAATGGGTTGCCATAATGGATTGGATAAAAACCAGTTGATAACTCCACCACAATTATGCACGCACGCAAAAATGATGTAGAGTAATGCGATGGCCCATGCAACGCGTGATAAAGATTCACATAGAGCTTGATTAAGAGCCGATGTCTTATTATTATTCAGTTGAATCGATGGGGAATTTGCAAAGATAGCGGTTGTCATTAGAGAAAACGAAATAATCCATCCCAACAGATTGACCAACTTATTGTAAAATTGAAAACTACATTACATCCAGTCTTAAAACCAATTTCACTCAAAGTTCACTCACTTTTGGAATACGAATTGTCTTTTTTCGACTTTCGTGTAAGATGTAGCCACCACAGATTCCGATTAACCACGGTGAAAATCTTAAATGAGTCGGATAATAAGTTTTTGCCATTTTCTCGCCACCCATACTGTAAATGAAAACGGAAGCAAAAACATGAAATGAACTGTTCTTTTACTTAAGTTCAAAACTTACAAATAATCTTTGAAATCATTCATTAAAAAGGTGCTAATGGTGCAGCCGATGCAGCCAAGGATAAAAATTGACAACCCGAAAACTGCTTTAGATTTGAATTTATAAATGATTAGCACAATAAATGGTGCGATAAAAAAGAGCTGAAAATCCACTGACAAGTACCAAGAATGACTGAAACACTGTAAGAAACAAACAAATGCACATTGGAGCAACCGTCATTTCGAATGACTTACCATGTCATTGACATTTGCATAGTTTTGTATGTATAAAAGAGTTGACCACCAATTTTGACAACCACGTTCACATTGATTTCTGATAAGGCCAGTTATAGTAGGCCAAATCGGTCCGTTACCAAGGAACCGCATCAATGTTGCTAATATTAAAATAATAACGACTAGTAATGGTGTCAGTCGTAGATAACGATGCACATAAAGCATTGGAATATTAATGCGCCCACCTCTATCGTCGATATAAAAAAAAGAAATCTGTCAGTTCGATCAATCACACGTCAGTTAAAAATCATTGTTCTATACGTTTTCTCGAGGCCTTTCAATATAGTGTTCGAAGCCAATAGACCACCTAATACCAGAAAAGAATCGACTGAGATGCGTGCACTTGTTATTATCACATTGATATATCTTGAGGCCAACTGTAAGAAAAATTACCTTTACAAAACATCGAATTCCATTTCCCTATTGGAAAATTACCTCATCGAAATAGACCCCATTCTGACTTGGGAGAACTAAATACATGGAAAATGTATGCCACAACGTGACCCATAGTGTTGAAATCACTCGAATCCCATGCAAACACTGCATCACATCTTGAGATTGTGTTTGATCATAAGATAATAATTTAACACCATTTGTGTAAGCGGAAAAGGCCAAAAGTGCTCTTGATTTTGACTCTGGGAAATGTACAAATTAATCTTTACAATTTAAAAAACGTCCAAATATGATAAGCTCACTTTTTTCCAATGGCGTACACCAGATATCGTAACATGTACTTATAACCATTAAGCATAGAACGCACAATAATAAACCACTTAAAAGTGATCGATTGAAAATTGTTAGTCGTGTTATCATGTGATGAGTGTACCGAGGTCATTAAACTTTGCACTTACATTGTGACCCAATCAGCAGCCGTGACATGGGTGAAATTTTCTTCAAACTGGCAAGTACTTTCTTGGATTTCGAATGTTATGTTTTTTAGCATCAGGCCAATGATTCGTTCCACTTTCTTTCTCATTAGATTTGGCGAACAAACATCAGGCAAACAGATACCAATATTTATCGCTTTTCCAGTTTTTGGTCTGTGTAAATAATTGACTCGAAAAATTTTCATTCTAGATTTTCGATACTTTTGAAAAGAGCACAGTATTTACCGTGATACTATAGCGCGTGACATAATAATATCGTCTTCTTGCAAATCCTTTTCATTCTTAGATGAAAAATTATTCGAATCAAACGTAAACCTTCCGATACAATATTGTGCTGCGTAGTGTTGGCCATTTCGCTCCAAATGAAAACATTGACTGAACGCACCAAAATCAAATGCATTCCCCGACAAAATACCCGATAGAAATTTTCCCCATGCATCTAACACTAAAATGTTTTTCTTTCTTAAATCGAAACTTATTGTTGGGTTAATTTTCAATTTAGCTTACGTTTGATGGCCCATAAATCGGAATTTTGAAGACTTTCGCCAATCATTGCCAATTCTTTCTCACATCGTGCCTCATCATTGACGTAATTTCTATTACCAAATTGCAAATTATACATTGAATCATTCCGGGATATTACATTTTCAAATAAACGGAGTTTAATCTGTTCAAAATCTAACGAATTAAAACAGTTATCTGTTTTCTAACGAATTAACAGTTAATTTATTCGATTTATGCGCAGGCAATTGAAGTTGGTTGATTCATGCACATGGTTCATGCACATTTTCAAATCTAGTCAGCCGGTTAATTTTGGATATAAATCCATCTGACATCGAAGCTGACTATAATTGTCTTGATTGTGAATTTTAAGAGATGCCATCGAACAGTTAAAAGTGCGTCAAAGTAACTGAATGACTTGGTTATTTTTTCCACATGGGTTTACTCGTGTTTATTGCGTATTATGTGGATGATGCAGTTAAAAATCGATGTCAATGTCACATGATTACAAACACACTAGCATGGATTTAGATTTCACACATTTAAGAACCTTTATTAACTTCTGATATAACCATTATTATCCATAGTTTGCATGAAAACGTCACATCTCTTTTGCTTACTCTATTAGAAACATTCACTTGATGTAAACGATAACAATAGAAATAAAAAGGTTGATGCGACAATGCATCAATATATTACGTCTCACTCGGTCTCACTTTTCATGCCATCATTTTCGTCATGAATTGCGTGTGTTCAATTATTATTTTTTTAAAATAAATACTTGACAATATTCTGTGGCAGTCCGATTTGAATAAATTTAAAAGAAACAGTGATGAACTACACTTTATTCATTGTTATTTGTTCCATTATTCGTTTTTTTATTTAGATGCACGCAATAAATTACATAATGATAATAATCTCACTTAAAGTATAGTTTTGGTTCAACTGATGAGGCGAAGTTCTATGATTTCATGTGAATCATTGTATTTATTTCTTATTTAAAAACCAATATTTTAAAATTTCAAAACTAATGAGGTTTAAAAAATGTTATCTTCCGATAAATAATTTTTGGTCTGGGTTTTATGAAAACTGTACGAATTCGTTCAACGGGCACTGAAAAAGAAATGTGGAAGAAAATAATTAAAATTGTTTAAAAATGAGATGCGTGCGAAAGTGATCTCACCGGGAACTGCAACAGGCACCTTTTTCTCGACAATATAGGGTGCATTTAGCTCTTTATATTTGATCGAAAATGTTTCTTTGAATGTGTTCCAATAATCTTTCAACTCTGCGCCAATGCTCTTATAGTAGCCTTTACTTTTATAAACTGGCCAACCATAGTCATATTCTTTGACCGGAAATCCATCATATTCAATTGGCTCATAATAGGGATACGCTTGGCAAATTGATACCATTACAAAAATGCACAAGATCTGTTGTGATAGAATCAAAAACAAAAATAAATCAATTTTTTTCGTTATTTTTATTGAATTCAACAATAGATATCACTTTTATTCCTACCAAAAACTTCATACTTTCACTTTTGTGTGCAGCGCACCGTCTTTCACTATTCGTTGAAATGTGTTTACCTGTACGATTTTGAAAACGAATTAAGGTGCGAGATGAGTTGATCACTTCTTTTCGGTTAAAAGAAAGTGGCATTTCCCCACTGCTAAAGCACAGCGCATCAACATTATTTAACGTATTATCTATTCGATTGTGTGCGCATTTCTCTCTCACCGTATTGTTTACCGGTTAATAACAGAAAATATATTGAATTAACTGGTCAGCTGAGCTGACAGTACGTTAGCTAAATGGGCTAGAGAATAGACGTTATTGTTTTAATGATGAATCAGTTTTCTTGTTTTAATAGAAGTGATTGTTCATTATAACAATAACTTCTATTGTTTTGGTCCATTTAGCTGGCTAACGTACGGTCAGCTCAACTCACCAGTTAGTTCAATATATTGTCTGGTTAATAATAATCATATAAACAACTAATCAAATATTTGATTAGTTTCGTAATCGTATGCATATCTTATGTTGAAATGCCTATTCGCATACATAGCTCAAATCAAATATTACGCACGTCAGTTCACGTCGGTATGATTTCTTCGAAAGTAGAAGTAAACATATAGCTAAGAAAAAAAACTCCAAATGACTGTAGCGATAGAAAACAGTCAATTTTTATTTTCATTATATTTTTCTGTTGTACTGTAATATTGATTTGAATGCTTTGAGAATTACAGAAATTGGTGAATTTCGCTGAACATATCATTGCGCAGACATTTTAAAGATAATTTTGTACCAAATAGCTCTCTAAGGTTCTCGAAATAATTTGAATCATTTCAAAAGTGTTTATTCATTTGTAATAGTATCCAATTTTAATAATTGATTGCGTGAAATTACATGACAATTTATGTTCGGTCCATTTACAGTAATTTCCCTTAAATAATAGATAACATATTGGCACCTGTTTTCATTCACACCTGAATTCAACCATGATTTATTCATAATTCATAAAGAACACAAATAAATGATTCGGACAAAAGCCAAGATCAAAGTAGTTATTGAAGTGTGTCTGAAGTGATAGGAAGCAAAAGACCATAAAATGAAAATATTTGAATCACTAAAGAAGTTATTGCATTCCTTCGGAATATTTTACCATGAATCTGAGCCTCGCAAAACATTTCCAAATTTCATAAAAATTTCTGCTGTTTTCATCTTTTTCTTAATCTATTTTGTGACAGCATTTTGGTTTTTTGCCTTTACCGCTCAAGCATTTTCTGAATACATCGCATGTTTCTTTTACTTGTTATGTGCACTGTTGGTATTGACATGGTATTCGTATTTTTTCTGGAAGCGAAGGGAATTCATTGAACTTATTCAAGATCTAGAGGCGATAATTGAAAAACGTAAGCATGTTCGTTAAAAAACAAACACCAACAAATTTGATAAATAATTTATTTATTCAAAATAGGAAGCGAAAATCGTCTGATTTATGAAAAAACCAACGACAAAATTGAAATACTTGCAAAAGGAGCAAATTTCATTCTGATCAATGTACAATTACCTTTATTGTTAGCTTCAACAATCATTATATCGTTGTACAAATATAATATTTCAAGCAGTAGTGACTCATTCCAATTGGTTTACTTGGCATCGTAAGTTACGTTCATTTTATTATGGATTTCGAAATATGGTTAAGCATGTCTATCTTTTAGTTTTCCATTTGATTGGAAAACACCTATAGGATATTTGGCCAGTTATTTCATTCAAAGCATTACAGTAATTATAGCGGGAAAACAATTCATAATTACGCTAGATATCATAATTGGTTTTTGTACATTTTTAACTGATTTTGTATCGGATTTAAAAGAAGATTTACGTCGACTAAATGACGGTCTTGTTGAAATGAAAATTGACAATCTCTCGACCAAAGATCGAATTCAATTAAAAATAAAATTGATTGACATCATTCAGTTTCATTCGGAGGCCAAAGAGTTAAGTCATGAATTTAAATTTACAATTAAAACAGATTTGTACGTTAAACTTTCTTTTTCAGGTTTACAAATCGCTTCTCTGATTTAAATAGTTTCATCATTTTTGCCTATCTTCTGTTCACAATGTTTTCGTTTTGCTCCTTATTTTTGCAGATAAATACAGTATAGCTTCCAACTCTTTTTATTATTTCCTTCTTTCCGAGTATTTAAAAACAATTTTCTCTTTTTAGTATCTTATGCGCGGAAATTTTGAAAATACTTTGAATGTTTTGGCTCCAGGACATATAGTCATTTTTTGGCTCTTTCTTTTCTCATATTTCGGACAAAGAATAACCCAACGTTATGAAAATATGGGAGATACATTTTATGAGCTTTCATGGTACAATTTACCACTAAAAGAACAAAATATGTTACCATTAATGATTGCTTTGGGTCAAAAGAAGATTTACCTAAAAGCACTCGGTGGCATTCACTGTAATCATGAGGTTTTCAAGAAGGTATGTAAAGAAAAATAAACAAAAACATGATTATTTAGTTATATTTTGTCATGATTTTTAGATTATGAAGACGGCGTTTTCTTATTTTACGGTACTACGTGAATTTGATGCATAAATTTTGAGAAGGTTGATAAACTTTGAAACAAAAACTAAATTTTTAGAATTCTTCATTTTTATTTTACTTAATCCAGAGTTCTGTATTCTCTGTGCACGAGTTTTAGTTTTTCCCGCTCTGAATGTTCATAGATTTTAAAACGATTTTGCTTTTCATTTTGAGAAAGAAAATATTTCTTAAAGCCGCTTGAGGATAAAAGCTCAATGATTGCTGAGAAGTGAAACTAATTTTCATGCAATTCAAAAAAATATTGGCCCATTACGGGATCGAACCGTAGACCTTCGCGTTATTAGCACGACGCTCTAACCAACTGAGCTAATGGGCCGATATAATTCTTCTGTTTAAACATAATGAACATCTTTCGAACTGAAACGCACGTGTTTTGAGATTGGTTACATGTGGGCTGATCAGCTGATTAAATACTGCAAATAGGATTTTGTTCACGCCTAGCATTTCAAATATAATTGAACTATTTTCAATGCAGTGATATTGTGAATGGAAGAAATTAAAAAAAAAAATATTTTATGGAAATGTTATTAATTTTTACATTAAATATTGAGAAATATATATTTTTTCAATTTTAAATGTTGCTTCTGCTTAAAATTCTATATCAAAAATCATTTTCATTATGCATCGAAATCATCTTTGTCTCGCCGAGCTCGTTGTTTTCATTCGATGAATAAAATCTCGAAGGCCCATTAGCTCAGTTGGTTAGAGCGTCGTGCTAATAACGCGAAGGTCTACGGTTCGATCCCGTAATGGGCCAATATTTTTTTTTTTTTCATTTCATTTCGATCACATTTTAAGATGGAAACACTTAAACTATGACGAATTTTTCTATTTAATAAAAAATTTGAAACTTATTGCGATTTCAAGCGTTATAAAGAAATATTTTTACGACAATTTTTTTAAAAAATTGTGATAAACGGTAGTCCAATTCATAAAAATCCATCTAATTAAATGAAAATCCGAAATTTGTAGAGAAAATAGATTTCAAGATGGAAACACTTGGAACACGACAAATATTTATACACTTTTCTTAAATGAAAATTTGAAATGATGCGAAACTTTTTGCGGTACAGAACCAATTGAGCTAATGAGCCGAAGAAATTCACACACTGAAATAACACACGCACACAAATTAAGGACAATTTTTAACTGAAAAATATAAAAGGGCAAAGATGAATCTATATTATTTGAATATGCAAACTGATGTATATAATCGAATTTAAGTCCGAAAATTCCATTTTTTTACTTATGAACTTTATTTTCTAAGCTTCAGGTAGAATACTCGAAGAAACTTAAGCTAGCTTAAAACTAAAAAAAAATGAATCCAGTCCAAAATATACCTTTTCTCTTGAAAATACAAATTGTTTAAATTTTTTCGTCACTTTGATTGATTTTTTCGTGAATTAATCTCTTAAATGTAAGCAAGAGTATATGATCCAAATTGAATGAGAGTCTTTTTTATTCAAAAAATGTTTCTTCAAATTCTTAGAATGAAAAAAAATGAGAATTTTATTTCAAAATTCACTTGTTTATTCGTTCATGTCCATCTTAGTCGAAATCTAAACGAGAACTAACTTATTTGTGTGAATCAAGGCGAATAAAACTGCAATGATTCCAGACAATATTGAGCGAAATTTCAAACTGATAGAAAACAAAGTGATACCCGTATTTTCTTTGTAACGGAAGGGATGCCGTAGTGTGTGATCCAAGATGAATGAGATGCTATAAAATAGGGGTTGGATGTTCGGCACAGGCGCTGTTTACAATGGATAGCAGGTGTTGAATGATGCAATTTTATTCACAGTATCAAGGGTGCGAGCGCATGGACCGCCTCTCAATCAAAAAGTGGGACGTCTCTTTTGCGATGTAGTTTTTTTACTGAATCAATTTTCAAATTTGCAACAGAGAAAAATTAATTAAAGAAAATATTCGTTTTTTTTTAATTAAAAACTAGACGAACTTCAATAACTTCATGAGTTTTTGAAAATGGAGTTGAAAAATTGATTCGATTGATAAGAAATTCTAATTAAGAATGACTAGAAAATCATACTGAAAAATAATAGAATATCCAATTTTCAATTGAAATTTATTAAATTTAACGCAATGAAAATATACTATTTCAAAATATTCCAGAAAAAAAAGTTCAAAACCGTCAATATTTGAATGAAAAATTCCATGAGCTTCCACATGCACATATATTGGAATGTGACCATCGGCAACGTTATCGTTACTATGCACTGGTCGCCAAGGAGCAACGAGTTCCGACATCGATTATACACAGCGCCTTTGTACTATATGTCTACATTCAAACATAAATAAAAGGCTGTTTTTTGTTAAACGATTGGCCTGTTGTGTCGAATGGAATCAATTTTCATTTGATATTTTGTGGTCAATTTTTTTATTTTTGAAGAATTAATTGTTTTCAATGGATTTATCGAAAGATGTGTAGTTTCATACTAAGGAATTTCGGTTGAGAATTCAAGTGATTCAATTAGAAGGAATAAGAAGTTCTTATAATTTATCGGAAGCTTTGAAAATTCTATAATATGTCAAGATATTTTTCAGCAAATCAAGTGAGTAATTCAAAAACTTATTCTATTTTAATATTGAAGAAAAATATTTATTGTGACAACAAATATTTTTTTTGACCTTTAAAACTCTTGTGATTATTACAAAACTCAAACTAGTTTATGTGATGTTGATTTTTGTATTTGCATGGCAATTGCCAATTTCAGCGACATTCCAAATTATGTGTTTTGCCATAAATCATAATAATTGGCAAAGTTTTGATGAGTAAATTTTGTTTCATGATGAACATTCCTGTCGGGAAAAAAATTGACAAACTTCAATTACAAGCGAGTCTTTTGCATAGTAAAAAGGAAGAGGAGAGTTACACGCAAATTTTCATGGCTGATTCGATATCAGAGCCTTTAGGCTAATAAAAAAAAATATATTTGAAATTGGATAAATCGGTTTTTATCGCTCTTCATATTGATTAAATTGGTTTTCAAAATATCGTTAAATATATACGATTCAAAGATGTGAATTCCAAATCGAAGTGAATAATAAGGCCAGCTCTTTACCTTAGCAACATTTTGTTCATTGTTTTTTTGTGGTCGGTGATAAAATCTGCGCATACGTAATATAGCTATAACAAAACAAGAGTTCGATTTGTACTTTTGATTTCGATTTGCAAAAAAAAAATCCTTACCACTTTCCGTGTTTAAAAATATACAGCCGAAAATTCGATTTGAGTTATAAAAATTGGTCGCAATATTATTTGAAAATGTGGGTCGTTTCCGATCGATTTTCAGTTAATCTCTTTTCTTATGATAAAATAATCCATTTTGATGAACGACAAATATAAATAAGAATAATGCTAAAACAAACTAAACAAAAAAAGACATTTAGCGACGACCACTTTACTTTCAGTGCACGACATTTTGCAGTGTGCAAATTTCATGCATGATTTTAACCATCGCGTGAATACGACTGTAATGAATTCGTCATTCCGTTTTGTCACAACAGAATATTTATTTTTTTTTGATCATTTTTACTTTGTTCGAAAACTTTGCCACAAAGTGAACACACAAAAATGAAAGGACTTGTACAATTTCGTTCAGTTATACAATACAACTCGAACGGGTTGGTGACAGTGTTTTTCTACTTTATTCCAAGGGATTCTTTGACGAGAAAAGTTGTCTATAAATTTCGGATTCATCCTTGGTAAGAAATATCATCATTGAAAAACTATTTTTGAGGAAAATAAGATAGAGAAGTGTTAATGCGGGAGTTCATCTAGTTTGTTTTCAGAGAACTTCTCGTATAGAAAGGGAAAAAATAATAAAAATTTGAGGGAAAAGATGTGACACACAACTCATAAAGTCACAAAAACACATTTTGATTGATTATTTTCATGAATTAATAATTGTTTACAGCCGGTGAATGGTACTTGTAATTTGCGGTTGTGTTAGCTAAGTCATTGAGTTGTCATCATATCCGAATTTAAAATTTAAATGAACAAGTCGTGTGTCAATCGCGCAACACCACTGCCATTATCATCGTCATAGTTCTCATCGTTGCGTGAGAATGAAATTTAATCACGTTTCGCTGCACATGCGATGACTGCCGACTCATTTGAATTTTAAATCAAATATTTCTTGTCAAATTAAATCATCGGTTTGCTGGTGTATATAATTTTGTGGTCATATGATTTTTATAACAAAACACCCATTTTCATTCATATTTATTATTAAACCCCTTTTATTTGAATGTTTTTATATTGATGATGGGTAAATTATAAGTTTGAACTGTGCAAAATTTAAAATAAAATCAATCTGACTCTCCCAAATGTGGTCCTTTGATAGACTTTGAATACTTTTTTTACATATGAAATTGAGTAAGAAAGGACTCCTTTTGAAGGAAAAAAATGTCATTCTACGTTATCTCCAAGTATAAGTGGGTGATTTTCTAGTCGAACGCGTTCTCCGTGACAACGTTCACAGTAAGGAAGCTATCATGTGTCTAATCCATTATCACTTTATAAATAATTAAATTTATTCGCCAATTACACAATATTTCACACATAGTTGGCGATGTGTACTGCAAAGGATGAAGTAGACACCAAGGGGGGAGTGATGACGTATCACATTCTCTTGATTTGGTGAATGTACGTTTGTTTGTCCCATTGAATCAGTTTCTTTTGTTATTTCACACCCTTTGCCAATGTATCAATTTAAAAAATATGGAAATTAGCCACCGTTTTTGTTGTTTGTAAATAACAAAATAATTATAAACGACCCAAAACGGCACCGATTCAACTCAATTGAAAATTGTGTTCAGAGACAATTTTATTTTTATTGATGAGTGGCACCACGCTGACAAGCGTCAGTTAGGAAACTACATGTCAGCACGTAAATTGATGGAGATAGTTAGTAATTTCGTTTCAATTACATAGAGTGATACTATTATATGTGTTCTGGTGGTGTAGTTCAAATCAAATTACAGAACATCAAAAAAAATTCAGTATTTCATTGATAACTACATGATTGGATACGATTCACATGTTTGATCATCCGTTGAAGATTTTCGTGTTAAATCAATTGTTGCTTCTTTATTTTGTTGAACCACACTCGCACACGACACGACAATGGTTTGATAATACTGTTTTTGTCTCCCGGGACCAATCTATCACGTACAAATAACAAAAAATCGATGCTGGTCTTTTGATGGAGGGTTGGACCGGTGGGCGGTACCGTTACAAACAAACACACCATGTGTTCATGCGACTTTTTTTTATTCATCAAATGGAATCCATAAATTAGGACAAGATTAGACAAGTCAATCCCAAGCAAAAAAAAATATTTTTGCTTGTTTACATGTTCAACATCATTTTTTATTTTTATTTTTTTGTTACAATGTCAAAGTCAACCTCATTCGCAATGAGGGAGAGTAGACTTTGTTTCCAATTTCACTTTCGATGCGGCAATTCATATTAATAACAATTACACTTTTAGGATTTTTTTTGTGTAGACGACAATTTTATTTATTTCTTGGAAATTGGATTTGGAATGTAGTGTGTGAAAATATTTTCCTTGAACATAATTGTTCTTAAAATTTAACAACATCGGTTATACAAGTAAATGTGTTCACATTACAAAATCATTTGAATAAGATGAATTCTACTGTTTTATAATCTAACATTCCAAACAGTCTACGTTTAGTGAAATGACTCCATCGGAAATTCTAATTGTTTAATTGTGTGAAAGGCGTAAAGTGTAGGTTCCTTATATCACTTAAACCGCAATGACTTAACTTAAACTTCAGTTTGATTCGAAGAAGCAGCTGTCCACCAGTAAAACGCCACAACTATCATTCGTAATGTAATCCTAATTTGAGACTTAATTTCGAGCAAGTCTTCCCCTTTTTTTGTAACATGTGTTTTATTCTTGTTCATTTTTATTTATTTATCATCCCTTGTTCAGTGCAGAGCTACATAACTGAATATCGCACCATTGATACGAGTACCTTAGTCAATTGTGTTTCAAACAGATTTTCCGTCTCTCCCTATTACGATATCCTAAGTTTTTATATGTTCATAGATTAAGTGGAATTTCAGTGAAACTTATGTCAATGAGCAAAAAAGTGGCGTGACTTGTTGGCGTTTATTTGGCGATTTTTTTCCAATGACCAGTTCCATTTCATCGTTCATTACACTTTGTACATTACAAAAAAAAATCAATTTCATTCGCACCCTACCTAATCGATAGACGTAATTATCAATTGATTGACAATACGGTGGATCGTCGCTTCACTCCAATTGTTTGAATTTCGCCAAACAAGGCGACTTGATGTTTAAAAGAAAACCTGTTTCGTCTAGATCTGCTATCGAAACATGTGTAAAAGTCATTCAAATCTAATCCACATTCATTTTTTAAACAATTGTTTACTCTTCGAATTCGAATGGAGGTACGCATAAAAAAACGGAGCAACAAATCCAATGTAATCAATTAATCATAAGTTATTATACATAAATAAACATTTAAGTCGGCAATGGAAGTTTGTTTTGTCATCCTTACTAAGGTTGATAGTCAAGTCACGTTTATACTGAAAGTGTAGGGTTACAATTCAACATATTTACACAAAAGCAAAACAATTCCGTGATTTATAGATTTTTTTCGTTCACTAGTGCAAAAAGACACGATATTTGAATCCAACAAAAGGATATTTACATAAAACAAATAGAACCTGCACGAATTATTTGTACACTTACTAAGCACAAGCATTTTAATGATTTATGAATGATAATTTTTTTTAGACAATATTATTTTAAGAGATTTTAGTAGTTGTTACAATATATATGTGCATTTTTTGATATGCAAATTTTAAGGTTGACACAGACAAGAACATTGAAATTTTTGGCTTCAAAAAAACCAAACGTTTTGAATTCCAATCAAACTAAAATTACCCAATTCTTCTCGAAAACTCCAAATATTTGTTTATTAAGTTTATATTTTTGTCGATTTTTTTTTAATGAGAGAGTTGTGGTCCCAACTTATTATTTTTGACCAAAATTTCTTCGGTATTTGAAAAAATTCGAAAATGAAAAGAATAATAAAATATCCATCCTTAAAAGTAGAAAAGAGACAAATAGGATGAAAAAAGGGAAAAGGATAAGAAATGAGAAAAGAGAGTAAAAATAATGAAACATACATTCTTCTTAAGACTAAATGAAATAAATTCGTTCTTTTTTCCATAGTTTGAGCGTGAGTTTGCTCCTCAGAACTTATGTAACTGGGAAGTGCCAAGACAACATCGTCCACAACCTCATCAACGTAAAGGTTGCACTGAAGTGATATCAAATCAACGTGGTCATCTATTGCCAGGCATTCCAAAGTAACACCAAACCTATTTTCAATACCCGTTTGTTGTAGTTTCACAGTATTTTCTTATCGAATTTTGATTTTCAGATTGAGGTGTGATGGACGAGTGCATGAATTGAATAAAAAATCGGTAAATAGTTTGTTGTGTTCATTTTTATTATACAATTTTTACCCATTTATACTTATTCAACTTAGAGAGTAAAAGGCCGAAAGACAGAAACGTATAACGAAGAATTGGAAAAAGTATACATTCAAAATCAAAAATTCAAACTGTCAAAATAAAATCTCATTACATTATTTTTTTTTATTAAAAAAAGGATTTATCATACAAACCGGGTGATTTGACCGAACCCGATCAACAACATCACAGTCGTTCAATATTGGATGAAAGATTTCCGGTTCATTTGCCGGAATTGAATGAATTGTATGTGGAAAAGCCAAAAAAGTTCAATAATTTAGATGAAACACCAAAATTATGTTGTGACCACGACGAAAAATCGCCAAAAGATTTTACGGAATTAATTGAGCAATTGCCACAAATTGAGAGAACAATGCGTCAAGAAGTGTCGGAAAAACCGGGTGAAAATAATACAATTCCATTGATTCCTGCATATTGTAATTTTCAAGCAGCACGTAAAATGGCCCAAGAAAATTTGGAGCATCAACCATTACCTGATTCAATTATGGATCGAGCATTCTTGAAGATGCAATCACAAGGTCTTCTCAATCCGGAGCTATCGCTGAATGTGGAACCGTTGGCAACGGGTTTGTATATTTTACTAATATTTTTTTTTTAAGCTGTGTTGTTTTTCAAACGAAAAAGAAATTTGAAATTTATTCTCCAAATTTCAAAGGTGTTGGCGTGCGAACTCATAATGCAGGTCCAACGCATTGTACAAAATTAAAAGTATATCGTCCAAAAACGTGTGGCGTGGTTCCGCCTCCGATTGATAGTCGAAATAGTCATCGTCCACAGACGGCATTCAATAATAAGACAAAAATCGATCCAATGGATTTGGCTATTTGTTGGGACTACGCGCTGGAAAATCCTTTAGATGAACCGAAACCAAGTGCTCACATTGATGGTTCGAATGACATCGTGGCTCCGGCAATTTTTAGCGTAGTTAAAACACCACGACCAAATGATGACCAAAATAATACAGGTCGTTCGGCCGGTGTTTTTGCTCATACAGCCGGCGAAGAAGGATTTTTCGACAAAGACATTATGCTGCGTAATAAAAATTACTTTTCGACACGTCTCGAGAAAAACACCGATCGAACGTGTAAATGTTCAACGGATTCGCGTTCACATAGTGCCAGTCGAAAGGTGTCGCAACAAGAACGACTACAGACAACCAATCGTTGCAAAAGTTCACCGAATTTATCGGTTTTGGTGCAACCAAGTGAAAATACCATCCGAGAAAGTATCATTGTTTGTAACTATAATAAGGAACATTATCATTATCGACCAGAACCGAAAAAACGTCATCGTACCAACATTCGCAAACATACATGTTGTGAAAAATCTCGACCAGTGCGGTTGTGCGAACAAAATATTCAGAAACTAAATCATCAGCAAATGGGAAAGATGGAATTTAAAGCGGCCTTCAAGGCGGGCGTACCAAAGAGTCATTCCAGTGGCTTTTGCAGCAGTCTTGATCACACATCGAATGGAAGCAATTCAACGGGAACGGAATTTACAACAAAAGTATTCAAAATTCCAAAACCAAGACAACCGTATGCTAAGAAAAATTACTCCATCGACACACTCGCACCACCGTTCGCATGCTTCAACGGCGGAGCAGGACAAGGTAAGCTCGACTAATTATTCATCATTTGTTGTGGCTATATACTTATTTTCATTGTTTTTATTTATGTATAGGTGGTTATCCAGAACATTGGCGTTTGGCATCCGTTTATCAGCACGCATATAAACCGGTGGAACAACGTAAACGACCACTATTAGCTACAGTTTATCAATAAAACAAACAATTTCGATTTTGTTTTGGGATTTTAATTATTTCAATAAAACTGAATTCCAATTTTACAAATTTAATTCATTCAAATTGTTTCGATTCAATTCCAGTTGATTTTTACATAAATTGTATCAAAAAAATTAAAAAAAAAACGCCAAGGGGCAGACACGTGGAATAGGATTTGACTTTTAGTGTAAAGATTTAAGTGATTGCAATGAAAAAGCAACGTCTGTGAATAGATTTGTGTGGAATAGCGAAACAGTGCATGGAATAGCAAAAATTGTTTCACTTCAAATCCATTTGACAATTCTTTTGACGTTTATTGATGGATTAGTGGAAATAGCAGAATTAGCATTTTTGACGGAAACAGTGCATGGAATAGGAAAAATAGTTTCGATTTCACATTTGTGTTTTTCGAATAGCTGGATTAGTAAATTATATAGTGGATTCGGAATTTATTCTTTTTTGTCTCCCCCCTAGAAAAAACGATTAATTTAAACTCTTAAAGCCCATTCTTTTTCTTTGAGTGACTCGAATTTTCGCAGAAAATAGCTTGTTTTATACGATTCCCAGACGGCTAACGCCAAATGAAACCAATGTTTCTCAGTGAATACAGTTGCTTGTTGATTTGAAACGGTGAACGGTGTCCCTGGTGTCATGAAAACACGCTCACGAAACGCAGCTATAACAATATCTAGGTCAGGATGTGCTTGATAGTGGTTTTTCTCTGTAAATAGAAGAGGTTTTTGTGTTAAATACATAGATTGTCTAAACCAAGTGAGAGCTAGAGCTTACCATTCAATTCAATCCACGGAAAATAAAATACATCCATGTCATCATCTTCGTTGTTGGACTTTTTCTCTTGGCTTCGAATCGATGGAATGGTTTTCAAGCCGCTGTACTGGAAAAATGTGCGATACAAATTGTTCGTTCTCAATTTATTTTCAACAAGAAAATCATGGTTTTGACATTTATTCTTGAACAAAATTATATTTGGCGAATGTTTTCGTCGTTCATGCAAATCGTTAACATTTTCATAAACGTCAATTTTCATACTTTCCGCCATCGCTAGTAAACGCATTAAATGTAAATTGAAACCACAGTCTTCGACAACCACAACCGTATTGCATACATTCAATAGGAAAATAAGCATTTTCAAATCGTCCAGTTCGTTGAAAATGGCTTCTTTTTTGTATGGATTGCACAGTACTGCGCTGCAATCGAGCAGAATTGTACGATGTTTTGTTACATACATTTGAATGCCTTCGGTACAAATTAAATTGGATAGCATTTCTTTCATTTGATTTCGCATTCGAAATATGCCGGTTTCGCCTTTTATCAATCGATTCACGTGTGCAATGTCATCATAGTTTGCCTCATCATCGTTCAGTAAATTTAAACAAAATGATTTTCCACTTCCTTGCGTTCCAATCACACCAACTACAACAAAGTCCGAATTCGTTTCGATGAGAAAATCTTGTGCATGACTCTGAATTTGATAATGATCGGAAATGATTAAAAATGGCTTTTTCATCGATGGCAATTTGGTTTCAGTGGTCGCATTCTCATTTGTATTTGATGATTCTTTGCTGTCTTTAGCTGTTGTTGGTGTTGACGATGATGATGATGATGATGCAGGTGTCAGTCCCGACTGTAATCTTGATTTACTTGATTCAATATTGCACGAACCAGATTCAATCGGTCGCGATGCAATGCTAATTTGTGTGGTAGATGTAACATTGTTGTGCCTTTGATCTGATGTATCTTTTGGTTTGAGTAAAATTCGCGGTTTATCCGATGTCGCCGATGATTTTTCTTCACTTTTTTTCGCCAAAATAATTGGACGCTTCGGCTCCTACAAAGCATTTCCACAATTTTGGTCATTTTAATTTTTCCAATAAATTTATTTGCATGATTTTACCTTATTTTGATTGGATTTTCGATTCCGTTTATTCTCCGACATCGTACATTCACAGTATATTCGTCAAACAACATTGGCAAATTGTCAATGTCACTTGACATTTTTCATTTGATATAAAATGAAACTTGGCCGAACAATTGGTATTGCCAGTGCACACGTTGAGCGCCTAGTGACGGAGAGAATTGTTCATGTGTATGTGTCAAACAAAAATCAGTCGATGAACACAGCTGTTTTGCGCGAGAGAATGTGAAACAAAGCGAAACGAGAGAAAGAGAGAGTATCCACACGAAACACACGTAGGAAAAAAGGAAGAAGAAGAAGAATTACCTCACATATGTGTTGTGCGTACCAACCATTCGAAACCAGCTGAAATGTGCACATACACATTAACACAGTTCTCACACGAACAAACCACGGGGCCAATAAGTAAATCAATGTGAAATGTAGAGTGTGAGCTCTCAGTTGGGTCTCATCATTTGGAGGCGATGAATTGTTGAAACGAGAACACAGCAACGAGCAGTGCATATTATCGCCAGCAATTCCAATTCGCTTTTTTTTTCCTCCAACACACATACACATATTTCTCTCTCTTACTTTTTTGTTTGTCACCTCAACACTAAATCAAATTAAAGTCAGTTTAACAGCAGTTGATCGAAAAAAAAGAAGAAGAAAAGAATTCTTTCGCATCATCATCGCCGTCGAAGTCATCGTTGAATTGAATTGAGAGTGAGAGTTAGTGAGCCCAGAATTACAGTGTAAAATTCATAGTGTTATTTGATACGCTCGATTCAGTAGTGAGGAAGGACAGCGCTAGTAGGAATAAATGTACGAAACTCATTTCAATAAAACAATAGAAAACAATTTACACGCGCGCTACTCGTGTGGTTGGCTTTGAATAAAAAGGCAAAAACATTTTTTTTAATACCAGTACACATACATTGATAGCTTGTGAAAACACACAAACGTAAAGAGTGATAGTTTTTTTTATTTACAGACAGTGTGTTTGTGAGTAAATCAAGTGCTTGTGTGTATGTACAAGACTTGCATTGTGATGCGAATTTCATCAGTCGATTTGGAATTGTTGTTGATTTTATTCGCCGTTTAGTGTTCGAGTCGGTATTTCGGAAGCTTCATTTTGCACACACTCGTAGAGAAATAGAGAAAGAAAGAAAGAGCACGCTACGTGTACATACACACTACAGCTGTTTGAACGAATTGTGTTGCTTTGGTTGTGTGGAACAGAGACCGACTGATCGACCGTCAATCGTACAAGCAGAGACATAGAACGGCTAAGTAACAACAACAACAGCAAAAAATAGTGCACAGAGTGTACGGATATTATTTTACTCTCTCGTGTCATCCACAAATTTACTGTGTGCTACTTCAATATATTTCAACAAAACCAGGAAAAAAAATAATAGTGGCAAAGAGACAAACAACAATCAACGCAACGACAAGACAGCACACATTATAAATGGTAATTTACAACAAATCGGTGTGTGTGCGGCATTTTTTTTCGATAGCCTCATACCACATGACAACCTATAAAACCCTAGTTTCAGCTGTTTTTTTTTTATTTTCGCCGTATTTGTTCCTCGCGTATTTAAATTGCAGTTACACTAGCACTCAGTTACTTTAAGTTTTTTTTCTCTCTCTCGATACAAATTGTTGTTGTGACTCGGTTTTTTTTCCCTTTTCAAATCGAATCAGACAGACTGTATGTGGTTTTTTTATTCGGTTGTTTGTGTTTGTATGTTAATTGAATTTTTTTATTGAGTGCTATTTTTTGATTTGATCAAGTGAATGATAAAACATTTGAATTATTATTATTTTTTTTCTCTTGTGTCATATTTTCAGTGAACAAAAAATAATTGTTTCGTTTGACACTGAAAATTACGGTTTTTCAAGGAGTTTCAATACTACATTGTGAGCTGAGATAAGTGAATAAATTTTTTGCTTTAAAATGGATCATTTGGCCGATCGACACTTTGAGAATTATTCGCATGAAGATGCCGAAGAGGAGCGTCGCAATTTTCTATCGGTTTTGAAGGCATTCCGATACTATAGGTAAGCACCCTTTATACTCTCCTCCGTACTCTGTCTATCGATTCATTCAAATTAATGGAAATGAATGACGGTGTATATTCATTGATATTGACAGCAACCGAAACAAATCGAAGTCAATCCAATCAAGTGGCGAAATGATTGAATTTTTTTTTCATTTTTTTAAATTCAAATAAAATGATTGAATGAACCGATTAGTTGCCGGTTGTATTCAATTGAGATCGTGATAAGAATCAACATCAATGAATGAAAATTACTTTGCGGGGGATGCGTTAATCGACTGATTGTCATTTTGTTTGTTTGTCTCGTTGTTTATTCTAGAACTCACAGCATGAATCGTGTAGATAAAACCGAATCTTATCTAAGCACCTTACCATTAGCTCATCAAGGTATGATGCTCAAATATCGTGATCATCTATTTCGAATTCGAAATTGTATAGGTAGGTCAATGAATGAGACAGGTCTATTCGAAAAATAGAAATAAAATATTTAAAACCAAAACCAATTCATCCATTCAGATGAGAATTTTCAAATAATTCGAAAATTGGTGGAAGACGTTGGAAATTTGTTTGAGAATGCAAATCAAGCGATGGTACCCAAATCACACAACAATCGCTACGAAGATGACGATATTCGTGTTCGATTGCAAGATATGGACAAGGTAGGTGTTATAAGCCATTCAATTGATGTTTGCCATATAAAATTAATGTACATGTTTTTATTTCATTTATTTTTTATACGCTTGTGACAACTTCTCAGGTCCAAGTGACTCTTAAGCAATTTGCACGCGATTGGAGTGCAGACGGAGAAGAGGAGCGGCAACAATGTTATGCCCCAATCATAAACGAAATCGAAAAATTCTATAATGCCGATAAAATGTGAGTATATACATTTTGTAAGCACACACACACACACACACACACATTTACTTAGATTGTTTGCCGACTATTTCACAATTTCGATACACGAGCGTACGGGTGCATGAAACAGTAAACAACACAAATTTTAGCATATGAATCATCTTTATCGCGCGCGCGCGTGCGGTCACTGACGACCGTTTTGCCATTTTACCTAGGGGGTAGACACCAATTGAACGCTCTAGAATAACACGGCGTTTTTTATATAGAATTGTTGTTCAATTTTAGTATACTTAGTTTCATTTAATATGTATTTAGTTTCTTTTAGTTTCTTCTAGTATTTCTAGTATTGAGCTGAACGCATTGCATTGCCAATGTATTCTTCGTCCATACGGAATACAATAGAATCCATTGTTCTTACTGATCGAAAATATTTTGTTTACAAAAATGTACCGTTAATCCAGTCATAAGAAATGTATTGGCAATGCATTTTTTTTAGATGAAATTCTCCATAAATAATACACTGCCGATGTATTCTTCCATATAAAATGTATTGCCAATACTTTTCATATGGATGAATCGACGTAAACATTTTTTCACAAATAATCTTCTAGTAGCTTCTAGTTTGCTCTTAGTTTTGTATAGTATAAATTTGTGTCTATCCCCTAGCATTTTACTTACACTTTTGTACAACGCAAAGACACCGTAATCGAAAATTACTTTGATTAAAAATAAAATTGTATAAAAATAACATCATGCCACATAATGACTATGTATTGGTGGCATGTCTGTGATAAGTGTGTGAGATGTGCTTTATCTAACGATTTTATTTATTTTATGTGATTTTATGCATTATCATTTGTTTGATATACATTTCTCTCGTATAGTTTTACATTGTCGTTTATATAAATATTGAAATTTTAAACAACATCGTTTCTATACTATAACAGACGTCGCGTCATTGCTTTTACACTTTTCCGGATGAATCGTTTCTCTCTCTCTCTCTCTCTCTCTCTCTCTCTCTCTGTCTGTCTCTCTATTTTGCTTTAATCGTTTGTTTACACTTTGATTCACAGTGACATCAGCAAGATTCGTATTTTGGTTCCCGGTGCAGGCCTCGGTCGGTTGACATACGAACTGGCGTACAGGGGATATTATTGTGAAGGGAATGAGTTTAGCCTATTTATGTTGGTAGCCAGCAATTTTGTGCTCAATAAATGCATTGTTGAAAATCAATACACGATTGTAAGTAGATTTACATTGAAATAACAAAAATCTTTTAAAAAAAATACTCAAAAAGAAAATCACTGACACCCTTCGTGTGTTTACAATTGCGAAACAATTAATTGAAAATTTGTTTTTTTTTTCTCTCTCCATAGTATCCGTACGTTCATCAGTATGTGAATAATTTACATCGCAAAGATCAGGTAATACCGGTTCAATTTCCCGATGTAAGTCCGACCAAGGCAAAGCCAAAAGGCGGATTCAATATGGTGGCCGGTGATTTTCTGCAGGTAAAATTTTTCTAAAATTTTAAAACATAAAAAAATTAAAATTTCCTTAACCAAAATCCTTTCACGCAGGTGTATAATACATCGAATTATTGGGATTGTGTTGCCACGTGTTTTTTCATAGATTGCGCAAATAATATTATAGAGTTCGTTGAGACCATTTATAAGTGAGTATAAGTATATAAATATTAAATACCAAACAATAATATGAATCGTCATAGTATAAGGCCACATCTCTGGTTTTTCTGAAATGACTTTCACGCGCTGTTTACGTTTTGATGGTTTCTATTTGTTTTCTTCGTTCTGTTTTGGGTGAATTCAAGCTCGTTTGTTTATAAATCAAAAAATTGCACAAACAAAATAGATTCGACAATAGTCCCATGGGAAGCTTAGATGCTATTATCTGTTGCAAACAACTCATTTAATGTCTACGGTTCGGTATTAATTAGTTTTTTTTTATCGTTTTGTCGAAATAAAAATTGTGCGCACCCAAGAGATTTGTGCGCTCAAGTGCAAACGAAGAAAATATCAACTAATTGTTATCGCGAATTAATGTGATTTGCCTCTCTCTATTTTGTTATTATTGTCGAAAAAATATTGTTGTTCGCGGAAATATTGCACAAATCAATATTCTGCTTTATCACACATGTGTTTGTCTATGACACTCTCTCCCATGTCCGCCTCCCCGATTTATATATATAAATATAAACTCATTTATCGTTCGTAATTTGTTTGCAATTTGTATGTTTCGTATATACGAGATTAGAAGTCTTGTGTTGACGTCATTTTTGTTGGACGTTTCGAATGCTATTTTCAAGTGAAATATATACAAAGATAATGAGGTTGTTACGTAACTAGCCAAATCTTGTCTAATTCGATCGATAAATTGCATCATTTTCTTGCAAGAATTTATTGAAATTGCAGACATAAGACGAATACAATGTCGCAATACACAAAATATCGACGTACAAATAAGAGATAACTTTTGTCTATAAACTGTTAAACAACAACAACTATTTTGATAACAATGTTTTTATCTGCTTTATGGAAAAATTAATATTTGACGACTAACAAAAATATGTCCATTTTTAGGATTTTACGACCGGGTGCAATTTGGGTAAATTTAGGCCCATTGTTGTATCATTATTCTGATGTTTCGGGCGAGGGAAGCATTGAACCATCATACGAAGACCTGCTTTTGATAATCCGTGGCGTTGGATTTACAATTTTGGTGAGCTTAAAAATCTGACTTCAATTTGAGTCAAAGATAATAACAGAAATAAAACGCATAACTATGCTTTTGTATAAGAGCATATAAGAGAAATATAAAAAAGACAGGTAGACAGAAATGTTCCTCCATTCTCTCAAAAAAATCTCTCCCCCTCCCTCTCTTTCTCTTATACAAAATCATGGATATGGAAGTATGCTTCTCACAATATAGCGTATAATTTGAAATAATTTTATTATTCCAATGAATCTCTTTTTTTTTCAATCATCAGAAAAATGAGACAGGCATGAAGACAAAATATGCTCAAAATCCACGTTCAATGCAACAAAGCGAATATTTAAGCGTATTTTTTGTGTGTCAAAAACCAATATTAATGGACGATGAGTACCACAATGGTAATGACAAACCGAACGATTTAAATGGACACGGACATCATTAGGCGCTTGATCAATAAAAATCAAACGTCAATGTGAGCAATCACCAAATAAAAAACAGAAAAAATAAAAAAAATAAAAACTGATAAATGACATACAAATGTGTTAAAATAATGATTTCATATTGAAAACTAACCCAATTTCATTCTTAAGTATTGTAGTTGAGTAGAAATCGAAGAGAGTTTAGAAATTTAAAAACAAATTAGAAAGTGTCATCTTTTTTTGTACCAGACCCGCGGGATTAGATTGTAATGCCAGTAGATTTAGACAGAAACATAAAATAACAAATTTCGATATTAGGCAGAAAAATTCTTATTCGAAATAAGAAAATTATAATTTGAATTAAAAAACAAATAAGTATATATAGTCGTTTCGGCTTCCACCAAAATGAACATTCAGGGAAATGAAGAAAAACACTCAAAATTGTTGTTAAGCATTAACCATTTTTTTATATATAAATTTTTTTTTCATTTAAATTGTTTTAATATGTAGGATTTTGTTTTTTACTTTTTCAAAAATTTGCATTCAAAAATTGTACAAATAGATCGGGTGCTTTATCCAAATTATGACCACCGGCCGAATGCATTTTGTTGTAGTTGAGAAATTGACGTCGCAACTTATTCAATTGGCTGGCATTTATCGTGGCTGGTATTTTAACATGTAAATTGTCACGAATTTGCACGGGTCCCATGATGCCAATTTTTCGCGCTGATATCACAGTGTTTGTTATTTCTTGCGTCAGCTTATCCATTTCGTACAGATAATTCGTTGAGGTCAATGGTGCCTGGTTTTTTTTTTCATTGAAAAGAGAGAAAAAACAAATGATTGGTTTTTTTTGAACAAGTGATTAAGTTACACATGGATCTAATGTGAAAATAGGTCAAACTTGGACAATTTCCACAACAAAAATTTTCATTTTTTTTATTCGTTATAGTTTTTAGATTTTAATCGTATAATAATTTGTATAAACCAATTACAAATTTACATTGATCGATCATTTCGGATATAAGTGCACAAACACATCAAATTCATAAAAATCAAATTTTCATTTCGAATTCGTTCCATCGAAGTTCGATTGGAGCTCTTTATTGAGAATTGACAAATACGCACTCACATACATACGTAATATATCCATTGTAGCCATTTAAGAGAGTTTGAATTCGACTTTGATTAAAAGCGAAAAATAATAGAAATACACACATACATCCATTGTCGAGATTCAATCTCTATTGAGACAAAAGAGGCAAGCAAACACTCATTAGGTTTAACTATTAACGATTACAATAATAATAGAATAATATACATATTATAATACTAGTCCGCATATTACAAATAATGCTAATATTATAACTATATTGAATTCAAAACAATTTCATCCGCACATTAATCAAAAATACATTAACTTCTCTAAAACAAAAGTTATAAAAATAAAAATCTATCAGAAGTCAACTATATGGAATTTATTTATTTATTACAATTTATGGACAAAATATGTAAATCACAAGATTCCAATCTATTATCTATCTATTTTCGATCATATCTTAACATCACTTTTATTCGTCAATAGTGAATAGTGTTTGGGGAAAAAAGAGCAGAGAAGTAAAGTGTAATGCGATTAAATTTACCTCAGGGATGTGATGAATTTCAATTTAAATCCGAATTAACTTCATTTATATTCATATAAAAACATTCTGCATATCATTTCCACAAATTCAGTCAGACATACAGGGTGTGCCAGAATAACTGTCGGGTTTATATGTAATATTCAGTCTATTGTGATACACCCGGTCTTGTACCGTTATGTTTGTTAATCCTTAGCCTAAGTATTGTCTTAAATTTGCACAAACGCGGTTTTCGAAATATTGATATTTCCTGACAGCTTCAAAATGAACAGGTTTGCATGAGATTTATTGAACGTACCATTAAACAATACAAGGAACGTGGCGCTGTTGACATACAAAAGAAAACTGGGAGAAAAAGATCCGTTCGTACAAAAGCACTCATCAAACAAGTCAAAGCCAAAATTCGCCGAAATCGCCAAAGAAGTTCGAGAAAGCTGGCTCAATGACTGCAAATCATTTATTCCCACCCGACAATAAAAACGTCTACTTTGTAACACGTAATTTGCGAATAATAATAATAATCATTCTAAAAAAATCTACAAATTCAAAACAATTTTTCTAATGCCGCATATCTTCATTTAGATTTTTGTTTACTTCTTTCAGTATTTCCTTTTGCGCCGATCTTCTTCTATATTTACAATTATTATTATTGTTCGGAATGTGATGACAACATCATTAACTCTCACTCGCTTATAGCTTTTGAATTCATTCACACTACATGAATTTCAAATAAATTTGTTGACGTATTTATTTCAATGATGATTTCTGTTTGTATTTATGCAAACCATTTAAGGAAAAACTAAATTAAATTAATTTGGTTGAATATTGTTATTTGATCCAATTAATTTTCCTTCGACTTTTCTCTCCTTTTTTTACATTCTTTTACTGAAAATAACATTTTTCACAAAATCTTTTGTCTTTGGTTTTGACTGCGTAATTTCTCTAAGATGTACCATATTTCATGGAGAGACCATCCGACCATCAATGCAAATACCACATTTCCCACCTAATTTTCAACGAGGAATCGAATGGAAGTGGTTTTGCAGTGATTCGACAACATTTGAGGGTCGAAAAATGGCTCGGTATTGAGGAAACTTTTCAACTCTCAAGTATTTTATCGATGGAATCAACCGAGTACAAAATAATTTTAAATCTTTTTAAATGCATTCTAATGGATTGTATGCCATGCCAAATCATTATAAATATTGATTAAAGTCAATTTGAAGGATCGGACAAGCATTTAAGTCGAACTGATCCATGAACATGGTCACAATCGAAAACATTATGAAAAATTTGCGTTTTTTGAGAAAATTTGCAACTTTCTAACCCATTTATAAAAAATAAACATACTTCTGAGTCCTACGATATAACATTTGAGGTTTGCTCCATAAATAATACGATATACCAGACAATAATGAGATTATATGCATTTGTTTTGGTCTCTGGAAAAATAACATATCCATTACAACATATGTTGTCAAAGTTTAAAGAAAAAATATGCGCTCATAAAATAAAATATACCTCCAATCGTTCATACACATGAACACCAATATCAGAATATGCATTACAGAACATCGATTTGGTTGTCGAATTTTGCGTTCGATCTTGTAATCAAATTTGTCACGTTCAAATTCGACATTTTCCTTATTATTTTGCGATAATAGATGCGCATTTATCGAATGCACCACAACATCTAAACATCTGGCGGCCCGAATTTGAACCGTTGAAATGTCATTTTGTAATGTAGTTTCAAGGGCTTCAGCAATTAATAACAAATGTGGCTTGATCCATATATAATGCGGCGCCATCATTAGAATAATTTGTAAACTTTGATGACGCACCTGCACCGATGTTGCTGAATGATTCGGTTTCTAATGAACAAAATACATTTTTTTTTGTTCAAATCAATGAAATCCATGAAATGAAAAAATCGAATCCGACTTACAATATAGCAACTGACGGTAACACCTAAATTTTCCAGCGCAATTTGAAGTAATTTTATGAACTTCATCAATTTCATCATCGTCTTCATATTCCGATTCGACTAGATTTTCATCGGCATCAATTCTGTAAAGTCAATGTTTCAAAGAAAATGAGCCCATCATCAAAGTGACACCCCAACACAGTCCGATATTTCGTTGGTAATTTCGGTTCGTGCAATTAAAAATTCCATGACAATAAGCGATGCCACTTTAATCGTTGGATCTTTGTGATGAACCAAACGTCGTATGAGTGCAATGAATTTTCGAATGAGACCGGATGGTTTTTGTAACATCTTAGGATTTGTATTAAAACGGGTAACGAACTTTCGTTGCAAAGGGCTTGTGTTAAAGTAATGTAAAGAACACGAATTCGATTTCCCAACGAGATTGAAAATGGCATGAAATTGGTTGGTGGTGTTTCGGTTGTTTCGGCTTGAACGAGAAACGGTTTGGTGCCATACATTAATTTAATTTAATGTATATTATACAGTGTGAAATTCTATAAATATACACACAAAAAAGTTGTTTCAATAGATGGCGCTATGTTCCGACGAACACTGTGTTGTAAGTCATTTGTAAATTTATGCTGAATTTTCGTAGTAAATTTATAAAATGTGTTAAAATGAAAGTCACATCATCATCATTGTGTAAAAATACTACGAAAAGTCAGGGTATATTTACAAATGATGAATAAATCAGTTTAAATACAACTTTTTCACAATTTTTTGGTAGTATAATTCCAAATAATAATGATAATAATAAAATAACAGAAAAAACATCGAAAAAAAACAAATAATGTTATTTTCTGACTTCACGCATAGCGACTTTTACTATCGAATTTTACAATATCTCATATTTCGATAGATGGCGCAATACGTATGCTTATAAACTTTTTTATGGCCTGAGCATGAGTTTGGATTTTTGAAAAATGTTGATCAATGTTGTGCTGAACGGATATCTTTAAAAGGAGATGGAAATAGCCTTATAACACACACGAAATATACAATATCCAGTTGTGAATGTGATTATTATTTTTTACATTGTCTAAAATCTTTCAAGAGTAGATTGGTAGACAAAATGGGCATTATATACAAAAGTGCCGTTAAAAAGTGTATCGGAGTGTTAGAACCCAACGTGTGCGTTGAAGTTGGCGCTAACTTTGAGTGTATAAGATATACTCTTTATAGCGCCCTATTTGGTAGTCACCCACAACTAAGATTCGAGCAATTCGTAGATTTGCCAGACTACACTTTTGGCAACATCGAAATATTAAGAAATTACTTTTTATAGCCTTACTCCCTAGACTACTGGCCTCCTTACGTTGATTTTGATCATTTTATTTCACACATTATTACGAATAAGATGCAGTGTTTGTTTATTGGAACTTGAATCATAATAATCAGTTATAATGTTACAAAAAAATGCAAATGTGTTGATAAAGAATTATTACTAAATAAAGTCTAACTAGTTTCATTATTATAGTAAATTTGTTCAAAGGCAATCAATTTTTGATATCACTCCTAGTTGTTTTGTTCGTAGGAATGAAAAATAATCGTTTGCTTTGTACTGTTTCACTTGTGGTTGACGTAGTTTGACGATTAGACAAAGTATAGGGTGTGTTTTACGTGGCCATTGTTTTTCCGTTTGTTTCATGTCTACCTTGAATACAAATGCATCAAGATTGTTTCCAAAATGAATAGTTCGGTCGCCGCATCCAATGTTTAAAATATTTTGTATCCATGGCAAAAAATCCACTAAACGTGTGTATACCAATGCAGATTTAGTTATCATAGAGTCAGTTGACTCCATGTAATCATATTTACACCTTACACCTTTCGGTATTCCTATGATTTCCATGCTGCCATTTTTAAGTACGTGGTATAGTGGGCCTTCATACGGGTTATACGTATCATTCTGTAATATAAATCAAATGATGATTATCTTGAAGAAAAAAAAATCAATTATTGAATGTTTTACCAAAAGATGATCGCAAGCATCGGTAACTTCAATGCACAACAAGTTTTCTTTTATAACAATTTTATGGTCCAGATCTGGAGCGCATTCATCGTTTGACCAAATTGAAGCATTCACTTTTTGAAGAAATGTTGAATGCGAAGAGTCTCCTTCATTAAATGCTACATACAATTTTCCGTGGTGCAAATCTAACGGAGCTTGAGGCAAAACAGCCGGATATATATAGTTTCTTAGGAGAAAAACTGATTCACTCAGTTCCAGAATTGAAATATCACCATCACGAGTCCAGTTGTTATAACTTTTATGTACATAGATCTTATGTACTTTTATGGCATAGCTATTCGTTATAAGAACTTTGGTATGAGGAAGGCTGCATAAATAAAAAAAAGAGATTAGACTCTCTGTCTAATTTAGATACACAAAAATTGGGTAAAACTAATGGTAATAAGGTTATTAGTTATAGTTAGAAAAGAAGTACCTCAACTCATTTGAAGTACCATCACTGTGAAAAGTTGTCGGATCGATTCCTTGAAAAATACAGCTGGTTCTAGCTAGCACGTGTTTGTTTGATATCAAAATTGCTTTACAACCAGGATCCAAAACACGAACCTCCCACGGTAATGTGTATGTACGTTCTTTTCCCCAGGAAATCAAATCATTTTCAGAGATATATTCATGCGATCCAACAATAACTAAAATTTTAAATTATAATTAAGATAAGTAAAAAGACTGCGATTTAAATTCTTTTTTCATCTGCAAAATCGATTTGTACTATTCAGAGTTAAGTATTTTAAAGTTCAATTTTAGAAATTGATAAAAAATTAATAAAATTGAACTTTTTTAATCTGGAAGTTGAGCACTAAAGGTGATTTGATTGAATTCAAAAAGTGAAAAAGATTCAAAAAATTCATTTAAATCCGATATTCAGAGGGGTTTTTAAGAAATACTAACTTACCACAATCAGAGGAATTATTCGTTGGAATGCAGTATCCTGAGCACACAACCATCAGTATGAACAACTGAATAATATTCACTTCTTTTAATTTTAATATACGCATAACAGCCATTTCTATAGTTTTTTTTGGTCTTGAAGATGTTCTCACGACGAAAGCTCTGTAATATATGATGATCGCCGTCGTTGGCTTCGTTGGCCTATGTTTTTTTATCGATGACACAAAATCACATACGAATATGTACACGAAATAATTAGACAACAATATTTGTAGACATCAACTATGCTCAAATTGCTCATTGATTACTTTATGATTGAACTATTGTTATTAAAGCAGGTAAAAATTGGCATCGTGTATCAATTATTAATGCCTAAACTAGGTGCTAATAACATGAAAGAAACAACATTAGTTTTGTCTGACTGACAAACAATAATTTGAAAAAATACTCGTAATTATTTGTATCATTCCATCTCATTCAAATCACGGCCGCTGCACTCGCTCGCTCGCTCGCTCGATCATACATACATTCAATCTTATCATCACACATTCCACATTCGTTCACTCATTCACACGCATTCACAACATGTGCATCTGAAGAAGTAAAAAGGTTGAGCGCGTACACAAAGTCAAATCGTACATGCATTTTGCCGTTCATTTCAACTTGAAGCTCCACCTGCACATTGGTGCACCTGTATTTTGAGGAAACAATGTATGTGTGAATTTTTAAAGTGTAGAGACTTAATACTCAATTAAAAACAAACTACTTACAAGGCACACGGCGAAGAATAGTAATAAACACTTCATTTTTCATGAAAATATCAATATTTTCTTTCTATTTTTCGATCGATTCAATCGTCACAAAAAAATAGAATTATTGATCCTCTTGAATTACACCGCTTTTTATACATGTTATTTTGCGAAGATATTGCTTGATGTATAATCAAGCTTTAGAATCGTTTTCGGTTTGTTTGTTTGTTTGTTTGTTTGTACCACGCATAACTCAAGTAAGGTATCAGCTATCAACTTGAAACCTATTTTTTCAGATTCCTGAGCCCAATCCACGAAAACTATATTTTTCTTTTTGGAAAATTCGTCCAGGAAAATTATTTTTCTTGTAAATGAGGTTTTTCCTAAGAATTTGTATGGGAACTTCAAGACAACTTGATTTGTACATTGTAACTCGAGTTCAAATTCTACGATTTTGATTAAAATCGCTCAGTTTGTAGGTCTTCAGATGCCCTTTCGAAAAAACACAGACAGAATACTCGATTGACCTTGTGAGTAGTAGCTCTAGTACAGCGAACTATCACATTTCTGTGTATTTTTATGAATTTTCAAGCAAAAGTCATTATAGCTCGAGTTTAAATTCTACGACTTTGATTAAAATCGCTCAATTTGTAGGTCTTCAGATGCTCTTTCGACAAAACACAGACAGAATACTCGATCGACCTTGTGAGTAGTAGCTCTAGTACAGCGAACTATCACATTTCTGTGTATCTTGACGAAAGTCGATATGGTTCGAATTCAAATCATATAATTTTGATTAGATTGGTTAATTTTTCTGCGGATCCTTCTGGGGCTTCGAAATATTTTTTGAATAACACTCGTTTATGCATCGATACATCAAGCATTACTTCCAAGTACTTTGGCAGTGTATTTCGAAATGAAACACCTGTTAAAATGATGATTTGGTGTATTTGAGAATATTGCGAATGTTTCTTTTAAATGGAACTTAATAAATTTGGAATGAAAATATTCAACGAGTTAAAGGTTTTTAGTTATTGATGAAAACATTGCAAAATAAGACTCAATTGTAAATTATTTTTATGGTTTAAGAAAATTTCCATACGTTTTTAAAAACAAAATTTTGAAAAAACAGTGGTAATTTGCTCTGAAAGTGTTATCAAAATATATTTGGTGACGTTATAGAACATTTTTTCAAAATTTTAGTCACATCTAACATGCTAAAGAACTTCATCTATAAAGCAACAATTTGGACAAATATTGGAAAGACTGTTTTGTACCCACTTGTTTATCTATATGTACTAAAAAATAGAATTCTTTCGCATTTTCGAAAAATATGCGTGAAAAGCAAAAAGCAAGCACACGTGGAAAAAAATAAGATAAAATTCTGCTTGCGTATGTTTAAATAAGCATGCTTTCATCGTAGAAATGTGAATTATTGTAATCTCTCCAATACCTCGGTTTGAAAAATTATTTTCTAATGACTTAATAAAACTTGTTTATTCGAGAACTGTGAGTGTTTTATTTGGCAACTGGTTTTTGCATGCTCAGGCGATGGTTTTTGCATGCTTATCAGGTTTAAGTGGACCGTATATGTCAAGAGGTAGTATTGTTATTGACGCACTAATATCGGCAATCGTCAAATTATTGCCCACTAAAAATGGATCGATTGCAATAAATTCTTCCAGAATGTCATAGGACGTATGTTTCCATCTACACATGGACGAGAGTTTTGAAGAAAGATGCTGATTTGCTGTTTAACAATCCTGTATTTTACTTCTTTGTTTTACTTCGTGCGCATGCTTCGGTTGCAGCGTGAATGTAAGTTTGTGTGTATGTGTATGTTTTTCTGTTTCAGCAGTTCAATATTAGCAATTGCATTGTATACTTCTACAAAATTTCGACACCAATAAAACAAAGAAATTTTAACAATTTTCTGATAAACTAGCTTTGATACAGAGGTTAATTAGTAATAAAAAATACAGTGATTGAACGAACATAAAATTGCATTAATTTAACAATGAGAATTATAGACGGATTGTTTTTGATGATTGTTTGTGTGTTTGACTGCAATGTAGATTTCAAAAGCTTACCGACTAAGCAAAGAAGAAACATTCTAGCAAAGAATGTTGGGATCATTATGAAATTATATCGAAATTATATATTTCCATAAGCAAGTTTGTGGCACAGACCTGAGAAGTTATTCCGACATTGACCATTTTTCGTGCTTTCAAAATAGCACATATGGGAAAACAATCAATCTACAACTAAAACATGAATGGGGCTGCTGGACATGGGAAAGACATGGATATGAAACAAACACCGTCATTTTTGTAAACAAGCTTCGAATTGATTCGATTTCGATGGCACAGCATTTTATTTTGTTTTTAAATTTCGTTACAGATTTCATTTGCTTTACTTTATGGTGTCATTCAGAGTTTGAAATAATGATTAGTTTTTTCAATTCATTTATTTGAAAATCAATTACCATTAGTTAATGTAAATTGAAATTTTCAATTTATTTTTTTCAATTCATTAAATTGAATTTTCATTTACCATTTACATTCAAATTGAGAAATGAATTGAAATTCATTTCAATTGTGTGAAGTTGCAGAGATTTTAGTTGGCTCCCATATTACTACTCTCGATTGTTTTCAATTTTTTACCGTCAATTCATTTATAATAACATTTTGAATGTAAATTAAAATGTATATATATTTAAAATTTAATATTGATATAAAAATTAAAAAAAATTAAAATTTGAAACTGTTTTCATTGCTGCGATTTCTTTTAAACTTATTGACACAGCAACCGTTATTGTTGAATGTGCGCATTCAAATATTAACCTCACTTTTAACATTAGCTATGCACAAATGCCGCATAAGGCATCAATCTCTGCAACTTCACGCAATTGAAATGAATTTCAATTCATTTCCCAATTTGAATGTAAATGGTAATTGAAAATTCAATTCAATGAATTGAAAAAAATAAATTGAAAATTTCAATTTACATTAACTAATGGTAATTATAATTGAATGAATTGGCATTGTAAAATTCGAAACACTGGTGTCATTGGTGGATGTTTGTGGATTTGTCGTACCATACGAGCACGCCTCTGGAAGAAGAACAAACCGAATTCAATAATTGTGATAGCATAAATTGAGTAAGATGTCTAGACTATTTGTTAAATAGAGTTGAAGATTCCGAAATAATATTTGACAATAATTATATGTACTAAAAAATGACCGAATGCCAAATATATGGAAGGTAAAAGACCCAATTAATTTAATGAAACACACAAATAATTGAGTAATTTCTGTAATGTTTTGGAAATAAATAAAAATTTGAGTGCCAAAATGAGCATAAGTAAAAACTTTCGTATAAATAGAAATAAATCTAGTCATTTGATTATAAAATTATTGTTCATATTATTATTGACAGTGGTTGGTACTATTACTCCTTCCTCTCAAGTTTGCTTGTTTGTTTGTTGTTGTTTTTTCAATAACATTTTAATAATCAATAACATTTAACATTTTTTTCAATAAAATGTAAAATTTTCATGAAAATAAAGATAAAAAATTGCAAATGAAGAATCTGTTTAATTTGATGCTTTAAAAGTATTTTACCTATGCCATTAGCAAAACAATTAATTTCGATAAAACGATTGAAGCAGCTACTCTAAAAGTTGAATTCAACATAAAAAAATTGTGCCATCATACATTCCAAGAGCAGAAAGAAAAATTTAAATTCAAAAACAATGTCAGCAAAAACATTCAACGAATTAAAAAAGCACATTATTGGACCTGTTAAGATAATATGAAGTTTTGATTCTCTTTTTAACAACTCAATTGTTGAATTAGGTTAATTGTGGTTGATTTAACAATGACACATTTTCAAAATCTGCTTATAATTCATTTTTGTGTGCTATATAATGAAATTTAAAAAAAATGTATATGCATGTTTGAAGTCATATTTCCGTGTATTCAGCAGTTTATGAAATTAAGTTTTCATACATGCGATATGACCAGCGATCACTCGATTACAAACGATCGAACCATTATCATCATAAAGTTTTCAAGTAAACGGTAAGAAATAAACATTTTGTTTATTTGAATTTTCATTTAAATGTTAGAAATGGTGTTTAAGTTTCTTTAAGTGTTAAGTGTTTTATTGATGTGTTCTCCCGAAAGAAAAAAATTTCCCAACCATAATTATGAATTTATAACGTACAATAAAATGTTCAAGTGGAGAGGAAAGCATTGTTTTTCTGTTTTTAAGAGATTTCTCTACGCGGTATAATTTTCTCGCTTGGCCGTCGACAGAATAAGTTACAAATGATTCAAAAAGTGTCGTTTTGCATTGTTCAACTAAAAATTATGCTTATGACTTTGTATTCATTCCAGCAGTTGAAAAGGTGGCATTGGGTTAGAGTTTAGAGTTGTCACCAATGAGCGAACATGCGGCAAAATATATATATAAAATATTAATAATATATAAATTAAATATATATATATTAACAATGTATTCCAATAAAGGTTGTTCCAATTGAACACTGTTTAATTTTTTTACTGCTTTTACGAGCGTTTTCTTTATCAAAGTGATTTGACTTTGAAAGCAACAAAAAAATCAACTTCTTTTGATATTATGCCTTTTAGGGCACAATTTTAATGAAAACAATTAGTATGTGCAGTATGATGGAACATATCAGAGACGATGACATAGTATGTCTTGATAAATTCCTTTAAATTCTAATGAATTCTTCATTTACTCGTCGTATTCGGTAATCGATACAAAGCAATTGAGAATCGTTTCGATGGCATTCCGTTGTTCATTTGTGAGACTGGTATTTGTTGACAGTTTTTCCAAGTATAAATTCGCTTCAAGCAGCGAAGCAGCTTCTCCTGGAACCATTCGATT